AATTACTGATATGTTGATTGCTCTTGACAAAGGATTTTTATGTAAAGCGTTTTGCAATGACTGCAACCACGTTAAAGAGAAGGGTTGTTAACAGAGGATCTGTTTTTATACTTATGTGACTGCGATGTTCTGTCGCTATTGAAGAAAGTATCTCATTTCAAGAATAAAATACTTCATGTTTATCTAGTATTCATATATATCCTTATCCAGTATAATAAAGTGAACGATAGACAGACAGAGAAAGAGAGAGAGAGAGAGAAACAGACACACGCACGCACACAGAAATGATAATGAGAAAAGAGAGAGAGAAAGAGAGGAGGGGGGGGGGGGCAAACAGACACATACACACGCACACACGCAAGAAATGAGAATGAAAGAAGAAATAGAGAGAGAATGATAGGGAGACTGAGATAATGAGTAAGAGAATAAGGATATGAGAAAGATGTATATATATATGTAATGTATATAGAAACATGGCATCATAATCAAACTGATTATCAGGGCCGCTGTCGACAGCGCTCACAGTCCGAACCTCAAGGGCGTGACTTGTCTGGAGCAAGATTAAAGTGATGGAAATCCAGATTAATCTTCAGTGAGGGAAACAGGTTATTTATATCCCAAAAACTGCGTCCCGGAACATCCAATCTAGAGAAGGGTGGAGAGGATGTGCTGTGTAGTACATGCGGGAAAGGTAGGAGGTGGAACCCACACAAACGCGCACGCACAGACGTATACTCACGCGAATATACGCATACATACACGTGAATCTTTCGAAGCTATATTTATATCATATTACTGAAATATGTATAATAATGCTATGTTGTGTATTCTCTGTTTTTCGCATTGCCATCCGTGCACCTCTCCTTCTCACACCACACTGATGTCCCTACTTCGTTCTGGACTGTTCAATCCCAAGAAGGAAGCTGAACACGGGGGGGGGGGGGTGTTCAGGCCACGAGCGACGACCGAAGCCAAGCGCCTTCCACCTCGACGACGAAGGCGCTGTCACGGTGGACGAGGATTCACTTCCTGGTCTCGCCTCTCCTGCCTGTCTCGTCTGGACCTTGAATGCGGTTTTAGGATACAGTGACTGTAACTCTCCTCTGAGTTACTGATGAAAGGGTTTTTTCTTTTGACAAGGGACATTTCCCTATAAAATGTTTGTGTTGTAAAGACTGCAACTCATGTTTAGAGATAAGAGGGTTCTTAATTGATCTGTTTTTCTAGTCATATGACGACGATTCTGTTGCTATTGAAAAAAATTATCTCATTTAACAAATAAGACCGTATCGAATTGGATAAGTAAAATACACGTTTATCTAGTATCTCTGAAAAGTCCTTCTTTGAATCCCTCCTTTAGACTTCAAAATAAGTTAATGCAGGACATGTCACATTCAGAATATATTCAGGAATAGCTTCACGAAAGGACATTTTGCTAACCCCCTTTCATTTCAAATGTTACTTCATTGTTGTGTGGAAATTAAATTGAACGGCGACTCTGCTTTTTCATTAGCACCGATTGGCTTAGATTTACAGATCAGCTTTGAATTTCTAAATAAACAATCGTCTAGACAGGCTGCGTTCGGTTATGAGGAAGGTCACGTCCAGACACATTGCGTTCGCTTATGATTAAGGCCATGTCCTGCTCTCGCCTCCCGGTCGCTGCTGGTGGGCAGTGAGGGACCTCGAGGCCTCTCCCTTCCTCTGCCTCGACGCTGACCTGCGTTTCATTTCTCAACCAGGCAGTAAACATGTCAGCCACATTCATGACATGGAGAAAGGGAAGGAAGGAGACAGACAGACAGACAAAGAGAGAGAGAGAGAGAGAGAGAGAGAGAGAGACTTTGAGAAAGAGAACTATTGAGAGAAAAAGAGAATCCCTTAAACTAATCCCTGTGAAAAATTTCGACACAAGACTCTTTATCAGCCACTTCTTCGATAGTAGTCACTGACCAGCTTGGGCAAGTCCGGAACATGTTTGCGATAAGACGCCGCCGATAACTTGTTTTTGTTCCTTAATATGGATTAGGAGCCTCGTCTCTGCGCACGTATGAACACTTTTAAAAAGAATGAATATTGCATAAATGATGAATTTTGCGGAATATAAGACGAATAATAATATATATAGATACTCAAAGCTCAGCGCCAATTGACTGTCTAGTCGTACCATCTACGTAAAGTACTCACAGTCTATGTATGGAGGAAGATAAAAAGAGTGATAAAACCTGAGCTTTATCTTTGAAACAGGAAAATGATATTATAACCCTTGAGTGCTAAAATACCGAGTCTGTGGCGACGAAAGAACACAGGCGATCTAGGGAAGAGGAGTTTACAGGGAAGCTCAGGTGGCACAGACACACGCGCACACACACGCAGAGAAATGAGAATGAGAAAAGAGAGAGAGATAATGATAGGTAGAGATAATGTGAGAGAAAAAGAAAACATATACATATATATATACATACACATACATATATATACATACACACATATATATATATATATATATATATATATATATATATATATATATATATATATATATATATATATATATAAACAGAGAGAAAGAGAGAGAAACATGACATCATAGCCAAACTGATTATAAAAAGTAATGGAAATCCAGGTTAATCTTCAACATGGGAAATAAGTCATATCCCAAAAAACTGCCTGTGCCATAACTGCCAATATAGAAAAGGGTTGAGAGGATGTGCACACACTGTTTTAGAAAGTCTGGTGTAATCTTGAGAATCGACACAAAATAAGTACCGTTTCATGTAACAAAACCAAAAGCTAAAGCAGACAGGAAAGTTATACATACACAGAATTTGAAAAAAAAAATCAATCTATCCAACCTGTAACACCCGTAGTATTATGGGTTATGCTTTAATGGTTTAACTTTCTTGGTGTTGATCGAGGTATTTAAATACGCCAAAGGTAGAGGTACTCGTTTTCCCAGGTTTGATAATTTATTCGACATATGAAACGGTCCATCTGTAACAAATCAGAACATGCCTACTTAGAAACATTAAATCATATAGCATCATTGACATGTAAATAGTTATCCTTCATAATCTTGAAATTAACTTAAGGTCTTGAAAGGTAAATCATAAATCACAGATATTAATGTTACTGTAACGTTGCCTTTTTCATGCCATGTTAGCAAGGGAAAGATATGCAAAATCATAAATAAACACTAGTCCACATGATTGCACTGGTTTACCTTACAATTTCTGGCTTTCTCCAGGTCTGACAATATCGTAAACCATCACATTGACGGGTTTTAACACAAAGCACATTGCCAGCTTCGAACCAAACAAATGGCTGCTCACATGTCTCGCTTTCATCCGCCTCTCAGCAGAGGGCAGCACCCTACGGCGGCGGGAAATTTAAAATAGCTTAAACCAGATGTTACAAACGGGATTCAATGGTTTAAGGAATTCTTATATTTTCTCCCATTGTAGAATAAGAAATTTTTAAAGATGAAAAATCTGTCTCTATATAATCTGTCATTCCAATTACCTATCTATCGACCTATTCCTTTATTAATATGTTTATCTCCCTGCCTATTTATTCTTTTCATTTCTTTGTGTATCGGTCTTAAAGTTTGTCTATCTATAAAATCATTTCACTATCCATTTATCTATAAGATAATTTGTAAACGGATTTGTCTATGCACCATTCTCCCACATACATGATATGAGACATGTGTCTGTGTATCTATCCTAAGATTGTATAGGTGTATATAAGGGAGATTGTAGAGTATGTATATGTACAATTTTGTGCGTGGACATTCATGCTTGCGCATATTCCTCAAAAACAAAACATTCAATACTTAGACTTTTAGCTCGAAATAGACATTCTACATTTGTCTTGTCAAGTGTGTCCCCATTGCCCTCCCGGCCCACAGCCAATGAAGTGCAATTAACCCAACTGTTAATCACTATGCTCATTCGTCTCTGTGCGATTTTTTGTATCTTTACATTTACAGTAGTTACAGAATGCCTGTCTTTACTACTTTCAGTAGGAATACATAAAATACACATACTTATATTAACACATATAAAGACAATGGGAACACACGCGTAGAGGCACACGGCTGCGCAAACATATACACACGATTTCGTTGGAGATAGCGCTGTCTGTATAAAAAGATGGCTTATCGTGCAGGTTCTCACTCAGACCACGGACTCCGAGCTGAACACACAACCCATCCGAAAGCGTCTTAGCACACGGCATTCGTACAATGTGAGTATCGCTTTCTGGGCTGTGATCTGGGTACCTAAAACTTGACTATATTCCCGTGAAATATGAATGCCTCTGTTAGTGACGGAACATTATCGGAAGTTTCTGCGGTGATCTCAGGCACTTATGTAATACCTTTAACATTTCATGGACAGAAAGCAAAAATGGCCAGCACTTTGTCTCGCGTTCTTCCCCGTCTCGTCTCTTCCCTGCACACCACGCCCATCCTCAGCCGCCCACGCCCTCACAAGGCCCTCGCCAGGACCATCACCAGCTTCCACGGCCTGCAGGGTCTCGCACAGCCATGGCGGGTAAGACTGCACTTATTTTTTTGTCTTGCTCGCACTTGAGACAGAGCTGAGGGAAGCAACCAATAAAGGCATGTTATGTATGCATATATATATATATATATATATATATATATATAGAGAGAAACCAAGAAGCAATTAGGCGCTAACGCCATGCTCTCTCCCTTAGGTACCGACGGAAGAGGCTCCTGAGCTGGTGGAGAGCGGGGAACTGGCGCTGCACTTGGAGGCCCTCCAGCGCTGGCACGACGAGGCCGAGCTCCTAAGGGAGGTGCGAGTCCTTCCTCCGGGCGTTGACGACCAGATCAACCTCGAGGCAGAGACTCGAGGCCAAGTCAAGGACCTGATGGAGAGTCTGATTGAGGAGGAAATCCTGGACATCCGTCGGGTTGGGTCCTCGCCTCCACCTTTTAAGGCCTTCCGTAATTCCATTCCCGACGCCAAGGTTCCATGTCAGTGAACCTCCTTCGGCTTTGACTGTTCATTCCCTAAAAGATGAACACAGTGTGCTATTCAGGCGACACCAAGGGCTCTCCCAGGAAGCCCCCGGCCACGAGCGACGACCGAAGCCAAGCGCCTTCCACCTCGACGACGAAGGCGCTGTCACGGTGGACGAGGGATTCACTTCCTGGTCTCGCCTCTCCTGCCTGTCTCGTCTGGACCTTGAATACGTAGGTTTAAGATACAGTGACTGTAACTCTCCTCTGTTACTAATATGTTAATTGTTCTTGACAAAGGATTTTTATGTAAAGTTTGTGTTGTAATGACTGCAACCCACGTTAAAGACAAGAGGGTTGTTAATAGAAGATATGTTTTTTTATACTTATGTGACTGCGATGTTCCGTAGCTGTTGCAGAAATTATCTCATTTCATAAATAAAATACTTAATCCCTTTCTAGTATTTCACAAATGCCTTCATATGCATCCATATATTTTTGGTCCAATATAAGATAACTGAAAGGCTACTATCAAATAAGAGAAGAGAAAACACACAGCGGGATAGGAAGGCAGACTCACATACACACACAAACACGAACACACACAGAAAAATGAGAGAATGAGAAAAGAGAGACTAAAGACGAACGAGGTTTTTGCCTGAGTGAGCTCTGTGTCCGAATCGAATAACTCGATAACACTAATGATTCGCGATATTTGTTTGTCTTTTAGACTGACTTATATCAACAAATCAAGATACACAGTTTATTTTGTGGTATTTTTGAGCCTGCAAGGTTTCATCATAGAGGTACATAATGATTTTTAAAAGTCAGTATCAAGTCAATGACACAACAAAAATTCTTGCCATGTAGTCGATAGTTTTTATGACTTCAACATGTATTTGGTGTACTACTAAAAAGGCACAAAAATATTTTATGCGCCTTTAAAATATCATTTTACATTAAGAGACACGATTCGTAATTAATGAAAATATAAAATTCTATCTGAACCTGATTGAAATATATCTAAAATATCACGCTCTGATTGCTGGCCAGAGTGCATCAAACTGTTTCAAAGTAGCGGCAACGACTTTGACACAAAGAGAAAAGATGCTTCAACATGTCCCAGTAATGTGCGAATAAGGGCAACATGTCATAACGTGCATCACACTGTTTGGGGTTTCGGGGATGCTACAAAAAGGCCTTAAGAGAGAGAGAGAGAGAGAGAGAGAGAGAGAGAGAGAGAGAGAGAGAGAGAGAGAGAGAGAGAGAGAGAGAGAGAGAGAGAGAGAGAGAGAGAATGAAACATAGACTGAGAATGAGTTTGAAAATAAGAAAATGAGATAAAGAAAGAGACATGCCATCGTAGTTAAATTGTGCATCAGAGGCGCTATCGACTCAATCTCAATCTCAATAATAATGCTAATGGGCGCTAATGAGAGCATGACACACATATTGGTTTGATTGGTTGGTTGCTGGGGGAAGGGGGAAGGATCAAGGTCCAAGCGGAAGTGTCAGTGTTTGTGAAGGTGTTTGTAGTGTTCAGGGTTTTGTTTGTTTGTGAAAGTGTTTTAGGATCGATGACTGTAACTCTCTTCTGAATTACTGATGAAATGATAATAGCCTTTAATAGGGAACATTGTGTTGTAATGACTGTAACCCATGTATAAAGATAAGAGGATTGTTGATTGATATGTTATTCTTAAATGACTGCGATTCTGCCATTAAAAAAATTATCTCAACAAATAAAAGACGTTGAATTTGACAAATATAATAGTTACATGTTTATCTAGTATTTCTGAACATTTCCTATCAGTTTTGGACTCCTAGATAAGTTATTGAAGGATTAGTATCACATTCGAAATCTCATAAAGAAAATCTTCACGAAAGGACGTTTCTGCTGATCACCTTTCCATCTCAGATGTTGCTGCGTTAGTGTGTAGAAAATGAGTTGAATGGCGGACCTGCTTTTCCATTACCATTCGCGTAGTTAGAGTTATGGAATTAAAAATAACCTCTGGATTAGTTGTGATTGATAAATAAACCATAATGGACTCTGAATCAACTCCCTTCTTTTCTCTGCTTTCGACAGGCAACTTAACTCTTGAATCTATCGGCTCGACACTGAGCGTCCTTTCTCGAGGTCCTTCGGCACATCGTCTGGACAGGGGTTGTTCGGTTCTGAGGAAGGTCACGTCCTGCTCTCGCCTCTCGGTCGCTGCTGGTGGGCAGTGAGGGACCCTGAGGCGTCTCCCTTCCTCTGCCTCGACGCTGACCTGCGTTTCATGTCTCAAACAGGCAACAAACACGTCATTCCTATTCATGACATGGATAGATAGACAGATAGCCAGTGAGAGAGATAGACAGAGAGAGAGAGAGAGAGAGAGAGAGAGATTGAAAGTAAGAGAGAGAAAAATTGAGTAAGAGAGAGAGAAAGATTGAGCGCGAGAAAGAGAGAGAAAGAGATAATCCCTTAATATAATCGTTGGGAAAGGTTTCGAAATCTATGGGAA